TATATCAAATAAGCATATTAAAAATAATTCTTGCCTTTAGAGAGTAGTTTTCTAAATTTCTGTGTTGCTGTTAGCTGTTGATGAACATTATTAGAAAAAATCATCTGAACCATATCTGTGGTAATAACTTCTTCCTGAAACACACAAAAGAAAACATAATTTAACATTGAAATATTTTGCATGACTAATATTTGTTATATATATTATCTATAAAATACTATTGAAGTATAATTTGAAATGTAGTTTTGTAATATTTACCTCTGGAATGGGTACAGTAGAACTGATATCTGGATCCTGGATAGGGCTTTCTAGCATAGATTCATCATTTCTCGGCAGAGAGACATTCCTGCGTTTGAACAACTATAATAAAGAGAATCACTTTATCCACTGAGCATTCCATAAAACACTGAACTCCCGTAGAATTACATTTTTCATTTAAATGATGAAAACAAACCAAAAATTTTATAATTTAAAATTGTGAATATTTAATATTTCTTAGTCCTTATATAGGAGCTCTGGCGGCATAGTACCTAAAGCATTTGACTGCTAACCAGAAGGCTGGCAGTTCAAACCCACCAGCCACTCCTCAGAAGAAAGACTGGACAATCGACTTCCACAGAGGTACCACCTCAGAAACCCAAGGAGGGATCACTATGAGTCAAATTGACTCTATGAAAGGAGCTCTGGTGAATTAGTGGTTAAGGCTGCTAACCAGGAGGTTGGAGGTTCAACCCATCAGCTGCTCCACGGGAGGGAGATGAGGAAATCTACTTCTGTAAAGATTTTACAGCCTTGGAAACCCAATAGGGGTAGCTGTGAGTCACAATCAACTCGATGTCAGTATACCAAGAAGACGTAATCTGTGAGATGTCAAACATTCTGGTCTAGGTGAGCTCCTGCCCGGCACAGAATGCTTTGGATCATTCTTAACCTCAGGTCTTTTACCAATGGCTTATGTTGAGAATTATATACTAAATATCTACACGTGTCAATCAATGTATAAGGTGCTAGGAACATAAAAATGAAAAAGAAATAGCACCTAGTCCTTAAGGAAGTGACTCCCCAGTGGAGGAATTAGATACCATTAATTTCAAAATAATGGGATTCTTACTCACAAATTTTGTTTACATTTAAATTCCACTCTAAAATTCTATAATCCACACTAAACTACTTAATGAGATAAACAAGACAGACCTTCTACTACAGTAAGTAAAAATAGCACAGAATTCTGAGTAGTAAATTAGCTAGTGTTATTTTTGGAGTCTAAGAAATTAAAGAATATATTTAGCTAAATTCAATTTCCTAAAATACTTTTCAACTTAAAATCACCTAAAAATAAGCAGTAACAGACTTTTAAAACCTGTATGATAATGTATTTGTATCAGATAGAATTAGATATTTAAAAACTTACCTGTTCTTCTCTTTTTTGTTTTCGAAGCTGTATTCCTTCCTCTTCTCTTCGTCTACGCATCTCTTGGGGATTTAATGCTTTATTCTTATAATTTTTCATCCTGTAGTTATCTTTTCCTGGACTAGCCATGGTATCTTAAGGAAAGGAGAAACGAGAATAGATATCGATAGCTTTGAAAATAAATGTAAGATAATTGATTACTTTAGGGCTAATAAATTCACATGCACAAATTAGATAGACCAGCAAAACCCATTCCAAAAATTATGTACAAAGAATACATTCCCTCATTCTCATATCAAGATTGGAGAAATATGCCCAAATATTTTTAGGCATAAAATATTAAACAAATAATAGTTTTTGGTCTAAAACAAAGTCCTTACCTTAATTTCACTGATACTAAATACTAGCTTGTACCTCATTCCCAGCATTTTAACCTCTCTGAAAGTGGAATACATATTACAAATTACTGTGAGTGAGGAAATAATAAAATTTGGGTGAAAAACTTCTCATTACAGCTCTGGCAAGATCAAAAAATAGCTAACACTGAAATGTCTTATTTTCATGAAACAAAACGTCTTACAGTATTAGGCTTCAGTGTTGTTGTGTTACTATGTGCCGTCAAGTCAGGCTCTACTCATAGTGACCCCTCATTGGGTTTCTGAGGCAGTATCACTACGGAAGTAGATTGCCCCATCTTCCTTCCAAGAGTGGCTGGTGGATTTGAACCGCCAGCCATCTGGTTAGCAGACAAGTGCCTTAGCCACTATGCTACCAGAGTGGGGGCTGGCTCCCTTCCCATTGGGAGCTCTGGAAACCCAAGGAGGGGTCGCTATGACTCGGATCTAATCAAATCAACTCTATGGTGTGAGTTTTCTGGTTTTGGCTTTTTTTTTTTTGGCTCCCTTCCTATACTTAAGAACTCAGGCCACAGGTTGAATGAGTCATGACTATAATATCAGTTTTTAGTACTCCAGTATAATTAGCTCTTTGTAAACACTGAAATACTCATATACCTTATTTTTAAATGGTTTATTATTAATGTACTTAAAAACATTAGCATATAACATGTTATCATGTTGTTATTAGCTGTTCCCAAGTAACTAATGGTGACCTTATATATAATAGAATGAAGTATTGCCCAGTTAATCTTCAAATGATCATTGGTATGTGGAAGTACTTATAAAATGCTTTATGTAAATATTTTATACTTGAAATAAATGTATTATCTACTTTTATTTTTATAAAATGAATTATAAACTCATTAATAATATATTACTATCAATACTGGTATTTTGATATTACCTGAAATAAATAAACACTGATATTATGACCTGTTCTGGATTTATGCTTGAAGAAGATAGTATAAAGAAAAGTTTCAGTCTGAGTTTAACATGAAAGAGCAGTGGCTGTGTAGAGTGTTAGTCTGACAAATTCTGAGGATGCAACCACATCCAGCCAGAGAGAATGTTGTGATCACTCAGCATTTGTGAAATGGACACAAAAGGAAAGGGTGGGATATATCTGCCATCCCTGATATAAAAGATGTAAGACTAGTGAATTGAAAAATTATATTGTTAGTAAAGTGCTCAGAAGCCCTTGCTACTAACTGTGCCTTAGGGAGCTCTGAAAAACTTCACAGTTATTTTAAAAGGGTGTAGTGCAGTGAATTACCTGCTATGGCTCTTACAGCCATGGTCTTCATGGTGCCTACCAGATAGATGACTCTGTGTAACTACGCAAATATAAGGTGCTTGTGGCCCACCAAAGGGACTGGATAGCTTGTTAGTAACATAAATAAGGTGCATGGCACCTTTGTGAGGGTTGCTGTTGTTGTTAAGTGCCGTCGTTTCCGACCCATAGTGACCACATGCACAGCAGAACGAAACACTGCCCGATCCCGCGCCAGCCCCACAATC